ACCTCTTACCCATTTCTGCTGCCCTCAACAATGTACTTTAGCTTACACAATCTCATTTGAGCCTCACAACCCATATACACAGGTAGGGCTGCATCATTAGCTGTGTTTCAGGCCCTGATTGCAGTGGTTTAGAGAAGCGATGTAAAATAAAGAATGGAAGCCGGGCAGTGGTGGCACACGCCTGTAGTCCCAGCACTTAGGGAGGCAGAGGCAAGTGGATTTCTGTGAGTTCGAGGCTAGCCTGGTCTACAAAGCGAGTCCAGGACAGCCAAGGCTACACAGAGAAATCCTGTCTAAAAAAAAAAAAAAAAAAAAAAAAAAAAAAAAAAAAAAAAAAAAAAAAGGAATGGAAGAAGATCCACTATGAATCACTGTCCTTTCACCATGGAAACAGTAAAGCAAGACTGACACTGCCATACCTGGCAAGCACTGTATTTCAGTTTGGAGCTTATAGTTCCTTCCACTTGCCCTTTTGCTCCTTCTAGCTGGTCCAGATCTCAGAATGGAGTGGATTATCAGTCATTCAGGTCATAATTGAACTATAGCTGCTGCTCCAGATTTGGTTTGGCTGCCAGAGCAAATCAGTGCAGACCTGATCAGTGTGTAGCTAGTCATCTCATGTTACAGTCAAGACCATCAGGAACTGTTTGCTCATGATCCTCTTGCCTCTCCCTCCTGACTGGAGAAATAGCTTAGAGGTTAAGAGCATTGGCTGCTCTCCCAAAAAACCCGGGTTCAATTCCCAGCACCCACATGACAGCTTACAACTGTACTCTAGTTTGAGGGGATATGGCACCCTCAAACAGAAATACTTGTAGGCAAAACTCACAAAAAAGAAAAAAAAATGTTTGCTCTTGCAATTGGCAGGACTAGAAAGGCTCATTCTTATCAACCCCTGTGTGTGTCACAGCCTAGTCTCCCTCGTTCTCTCTGTCCCACACAGTTTATAATACTAGTAACAGGCTGACTGGAATTAGCAACTATTTAACCTACCTTGACAAGAAACATATGTGCTGAAAGGTGAAATTCCTCTAGAAGTCCCTGAGACTTCTAGATTCCTAATGGTGGCCCCTCCTACCACCAAGAAAGAGGAATGCTGGATTTGGAGGCAGCACACACTTCACTGGATTTCTCTCTGAACCATTTTCTGGCTCTGCGTGTCCAGCAAGCCACTTGGTCCACTACTATTTTATGTGTATGTGTGTTCTGCCTGCATGTATGGATGTGTGCACACCTACCCCCTGAGGAACACAGAAGAAGGTGTCAGATTCCCTGGAATAGGAGTGACAGTTTGTAGCTACCATGTGGGTGCTGAGAACAGAACCTGGAATGAGCAGCCAGTGCTTTTATCTGCTGAGCCCCTCTCCAGCCCTCAGTTTTTTGTTTATTTATTTAAATTTGTGTGTCTGTATGAGACTATGCCAAATGTATGTGAGTGCCACAGAAACCATAAGATGGCATCAGATCTGGAGCTGGGGTTACAGGTTGTGAGCGACCCTATATGGCGAGAACAGAATTCTGGAAGAGCAGCAAGCGCTCTTGACCACTCGGCTATCTTCCCAGCCCCTCAATTGTTAGTCCTAGAACCACTGGGATACATTACCGGGTATCAGGGAAGCCCTCGATGCTCAGTCCTGGAGGTCAGTACACCCAGGGTTTGCTAGTTGCAGTTGTATTCTCCTGACCTCAACTGAAAAATCCTGACTCCTCATAAGACCCCATTTTCCTGGAAAACATCAAAGCGGATGATGTGGGAGGTTTTTCAGAGGAGATGACAACTTTGTCTCTCCAGAGGACAGTTCCTCCACTTTGCTTTATGAGGCAGACAGCAACCCCAAACCACGGACAGGTTGGGGCTTGCGCAGGCCTCAATGGCTCCTGTTAGTTGACAGAAGTAGAGTCTGGCCTTCTCTTTGCCCAGGAGGCCAGCACTATTTTCTACTGCTTACAAATTTCACCTTAATTTGCTCTCAAGAAATAAACACAACACCAATTTCTACACTAAATTCAGCCTGGATTTAGGCAGGAGAGGCCTAAGTTTCAGTCATCAGAAAGAATCCTTTCCCCTTAACATTTTTTTTTTAAGATTTATTTATTTATTATGTATACAGTGTTCTGGTACCAGAAGAAGGCACCAGATCTCATTATAGATGGTTGTGAGCCACCATGTGGTTGCTGGGAATTAAACTCAGGAGCTCTGCAAGCGCAGCCAGCGTTCTTAATCTTTGAGACATCTCTCCAGCCCTCCCCTCAACCTTTTGAGAGAAATTTATTTTGTACAAATATCTAAGATGGCACACACTGTGTGAGGGTATACATAAAATTCTAAATCCTATGTAAGGAACAGGTTCTTGCTGACAAGCAGGGAGAAACTGCTGCCTCCTACTGGCAGCAGAGTAGACCAGAAGGGTGCTTGCTTAGTCCATCTCCTAGGTAACTGCAGAGTAAAACTTGGCTCATTGTCCTGTTAAATTATCTGCTTTTAGTCTGTGCTCTCCAACAGCTTTGTTTTGTATCCTGGGTGTACTGACCTCCAGGACTGAGCATCGAGGGCTTCCCTGATACCGGGTAATGTATCCCAGGGGTTCTAGGACTAACAATCGAGGGGCTGGGAGGAAAGCCGAGTGGTTAAGAGCACTTGCTGCTCTCCCAGAATTCAGTTCTCACTATGTGGGGTGGCTCACAACCTGTAACCCTAGCTCCAGAGTCTCACACCACGGCCCAGGATGGGCTAAGACTGAAGAAGTCCTCCTGATTGCCAGGGTTGATGACAGGCAGGAGCCATCACACCAGACCTCTCTGTCATTTTAAAACTTGCTCTGTGCGAAAAGGCGTGAGTTGGCACTGCAGGAATTTGCCCACCTACAGATGGAATGGCAATTCTCTCCACTATAAATATTCATAAAGTGGGCTCCCCTCCTTCCCCACCTCCAAATTTCCTTATTTGAAGAAACTGCTTTGGGAGCTGTCCAAAGTTTCTCCTAGTTAGAAACGCTTAGGGTGGAAAAGAAAAAGACTGCCACTCCAATGTAATGTCCTTGCAAGGCAAACTAGGAAGTGCGTTTGGCTTTTATTCTAACTCAGGTGGTGACTGTGTCTTTTCCCCACTGGCTGAGGGCCAGCCTCACAATCTTGTGCAGCTGGCTAGTGGAAAAGAACTGGCACACAGGACATGGAGGAAGGGAAAAAGGAGTCACTGTTTCAGGCCATCAACTCTGTAGACTACAGCAGTGGGCCTCTATGCAAACAAAGGCTTTCCTGGGTGGAGACAAAATATTTGTATAAACATCTTCCAAGGTGGGAAGATAAGGAGATTTTAATTTCTTGTCCCAAATCTAGTTGTGTCTATTGGCTTCCCATTCACCAAGGGCTAAAGTGTGTTCTGTTAAAACCTTTATACACACACATTTATATATATATATATATATATATATGTATGTATGTATATGTATATGTATTTGTTGTTGTTGTTGTTAGTAATGTTCTTTGTTTGTTTGTTTTTTCAAGATAGGGTTTCTCTGTATAACAGGGCCCAGGCTGTCCTGGAAGTTGCTCTGGGGACCAAACTGGCCTTGTACTCAGGAGATCAGCCTGCCTTTGCCTACTGATTGCTGGTATTAAAGGTGTGTACCACTCCACCCAGCTGAGGTTCTGAAGTTAAAAAAAAAAAAACAAAAAACAGAAGCATTTTAAAGCTTCTTATATTAATCCCAAAGATGGGAGAAGACCTCTGACCCAAATCATCATGGCCAAATTAATTAAAGCAAGCAGTTAATGAAAGCTCTTTTATTCATGTACAAGGACTGCCTCTCCCTAAGGCAAGCTTTGAGAGGTAAGCTTTGGATGTGAGGAAGACAAGGCTTTTATAGCCCAGGAGAAGGGACTTTCCAAATGGGGGATTTGGTGGGCAAAATAGGCCGGGTGACAGGAGCAGAACATACACACAAGTCGGTTCTACACGGGCTCCTGAAACACAGACACGGTTTGCAAGGTGGGCATAACAAGGTGGTCATATAACATTTAGAAACAAAGGTAGGGTTGCACAACCTTTGAAATAAAATGATTGCCTTAAGTCTAAAATGGAGGCAGGCTGTTTCTTCACTTTTAAGATTGGACACTGAGTTTTTATTTATTCATTTACTTAAAAAAATATTTATTTACTATGTATACAGTGTTCTGTCTGCATATAGGCAGAGCACACTAGAAAAGAGCAGCAAATCTTATTATAGATGATTGTGAGCCATCATGTGGTTGCTGGGAATTGAACTCAGTACCGTTGGAAGAACAGCCAGTGCACTTAACCTCTAAGCCATCTCCCCAGGCCCATTAGTATGCTCTTGAGACACACTATTGCCTGGGCTGGCCTCAACCTCAAAGCAATGCTCCTGCCTCAGCCTCTGGAGTGCTGGGATTATAGGAAAGAGCCAACCACGCCCTGGTTTAGAAAATCGATTTATCCAGAGACTCCATTTAGCAACCATTAGGTTGCACACGGCAGGATAGATTTTGGGACAATAAATAAATGCAATAAAAAGCTTATCGACAGGGGTTAAAAAAGAGATAGATTTTGGGCAACCTGTGTACTTTTCTACCCTTCGAGTCAAACGGAGACTGCTCAGGCCCAGCGCATTTTCAGATTGCAACAGGTCACTTGCCCTTGTGGCGTTCTCTGCAAGGTGTTCCTCTGCCCTTAGGGTGGGCCACTGGTCATCTCTCGAAGCCGTAACTCAGCACCGCATTCCAGCCCCGCGTCCCTGCTGCAGACAGTCAGGAGGGCTCGGGGAATCGGCAAGGAGGCCAAAGAAGGTTCCAGTAGCTGGCGACCCCAGGCCTGCGCTGGGTGATGGTTCGCGCAGGGCGTGCACCGCCCTCCAGCCAACACAGACCTACCCCTCTCTGGACAGTGGAGAACAATGCCGGAGGCCCGGCCTGTCAGGACCACGTAACACCGCACCTGACCGCGCCTCTCCGCCGGGCGGGGTAGGACGTCCCTAAACAGCTGCCGCGCCGGGGTCCGAGGGTCATTCTCCAGGCGCCCTTGACGGGCCCTCGCGCCGGGCCACCTAACTTGCTAACAGGCGCCGGCGCAAGGGCGGGCCAGCCCTGTCTGGCCAATAAGCGCCCAGGTTTCTGAGTCGTGTCCAATCAGAGCGCGGGAAGAAGGGACGGGTTCGGTTGCGCGCACTCGGCGCGAGGGGCGGACACGGGCGCCCGGGACCTCTCGTGCTGCGGCTCGGTACGCCCCCCTCTCGGCTTCCCGCGCGGACGCGGGGGCCCGCAAGCTTCCGCCGCACGCGCAGACGAGGGCGCCGCCAGGACCGAGGAGGCCTCGAGCAGCGGCGCTGTCCTCGGGAATCCGCTCAGCCCGAGAGGCTTCTGCAGGGAGGCATGAGGGGCGGCCCCTGGCCTCGGGGCTCGGGGTCAGCCAGCTAAGGGGTCCGCGCGGACGGCCCTGCTCCGCGGCCCTGCCTTCCGCTCCGGGGGCCTAGCGGCGGGCGCGGGAACCCCCCGGGCCGACATGTTCCCGCGGAGGCCGCCGGCCACCCTGGCCGCCTGGCTGGCGGGCGCGCGGGGCGGGGGCCTGCTGGCCGCGCTGGCCAATCAGTGCCGCTTCGTGACGGGCCTGCGCGTGCGGCGAGCGCAGCAGATCGCGCAGCTCTACGGCCGCCTGTATTCGGAGAGCTCGCGCTGCGCCCTGCTCGGACGCTTCTGGCGCCGGCTGCGCGGCCGCCCCGGCCATGCCTCTGCCTTGATGGCGGCGCTCTCCGGTGTCTTCGTCTGGGAGGAGGAGAGGATCCAGGAGGAGGAGTTAAAAAGGTGAGCCTCTCGGCCGCGGCGCCGTACCTGTTCTGTGGACAGGGGTGGGCCGGGGCCACCTGGGTTGGTGGGCACCTTGGGGGGGCGACCTGCCTGCCCTGTCGCCGGCGCCCCGAGTTTCCAGTGGCCTTTTACGTGACGATGCAATAGATTGAACCTATTTTGGCAGCCCACGTTATCGCCCCGTGCCTGCTTATTCCATTTGTCAGGTTAAAAATAACTAGAAGGGGGGCGACTTCGAATGGGTAGAATGGTGCCAAACATTCCAAAAACAAATTAGGCAGCTAAGGTATAGAGGCCATTTTTTTCTGGTAATCAGCATACCCAGAAAAGTGCACATTCAAAGCAGGCTTTAAAATAAACTCAAGGGTGTGAGTGTGAGATAGCTTGCCATTTATAAAATGACTGCAGTCCAGATGGGACTCGGGCTGTGCGCGGACAGCCCCCTGTCGTTGTGACTTGTGTCTTGGCACATTTAAGAAGCTGGGAGGAATTTTGCCTGTTTGCACAAAGCAATGGCCGGGACGTTCTAACCTGTGAGAGTTGGGTTAGAATTTTCTGCTTTAGAAACTCTTAGAATACTGTGACATTAGGCTTTGTCTGTGGAAAACCCCATTGGTGTTGACTTATTTTTGTTAGCCTGTGGTTCTGAGACTTGATCGTTTTTAGAGAATCTTAGAAGAAAAATGGCTTTACATTACAGTGTTTCTGTATTCTCAAATTGTGCTTCTCACCCTTCCACCCCTCCTCCCCACTTCTAAAACGTGATTTTAGGAACCAAGGCCAGTTTGTTTTAGATATTTCTTAAACAGAGAGAGAAACTGTTTTACATTTTTGTTACCTTGAAAACGAGAACAAATCGTGCATGGTGGCACAAGTCTTTAATCCAAGCACTTCGCAGATGGAGGCGATCTCTGAGTTCAAGATCAGCCTGGAGTGTTCCAGGACAATCCAGGACTACACAGAGAAATGCTGTCTCGAAAAATAAAAAAGCAAAACCCAAACAACAGAAACTGAGGCCAGAGCAGTAATGTTTATACTGTGACCTCTTTGGGATATGTAATACCCAGGTATCAAGCAATTGGTGCATTACTGAATTGAGAACAAATCTAGTCTCAAGAACTGGGCCTAGAGCTGGGTGTGGTGGCCCACGCCTGTATCCCAGGCAGAGGCAGGTGATCACTGAGTTTGAGGCTAGCCTAGTCTACAAAAGGAGTCCAGAACAGCCAAGTCTAGACAGAGAAACCTTGTCTGGGGAAGGAAAAAAAAAAAAAAAAAAAGAACTAGGACTACCTTCCTAGGAAGAAATATGTTTTTTTAACAGGATTGAGAGTGTTAAGGTAGTATGGCTACAGGCAAAAGATGACTTAAAAATGCAGTTTAAAATCATAATCACAGACAGTCCTACTTATAAAAATGTTAGCAAATGAAAGCATGATGCTACTTTTGTAATTCTCAGTATTCTTGTTTAGTCGTTTGTGCTCCCTCTCTCCTCAGGTTTTTGAGGGTAGGCTCTGTCCATCTTTTTACCCAGGTTAGCCTTGAGCTTCTAGTTCTTCCTTGGCCTCCCAGTGCTGAGGTTACAGGTGTATACCACACTCAGCCTCTTGTTGGAAAGAAAACTAGGATTCAGGTGTGTGCGGTCAACCTGGAGCTGCAGTGTGCACTTCTTAAGTGATTCGCATTCTGTTTCATGTGAAAAGAATAGTCTTGCTTTCTAGCTTTTTGGTGCTTAAGAACATCTTACAGACCAGGTGTGGTGGCACTCGCCTTTAACTTGTGTCTGCATAGTCTACATAGTGAGGTCCAGGACAGCCAGGACTACATAAAAAGACTGTATGTCTGAAAAGGAAAAAAAAAAAGGACATCTTACCAAATACAGTTTTAGTAATCTTATTTAACCTTAGAAAATAATTTTGAGTCATTGGTATCATCAGCTATAGAACCCCTAGCCTCCGGTCAGGTGTTTAGCCAAGGCTGGTTGGCAACTCACTATATAAGCTACAGTGGCCTCAAACTAGGAACAGTTCTCTTGAGTGCTGAGATTACAGGCATGAACTATAGTGCTCAACTGAAATCATATTTGCCTTGGTTTATATTTTTATTACATTTATTTATTTATTTATTCAGATGGGGTGTGTTGCTTTTGAACACTACAAACTTTGGAGGTCAAAGAACAATTTTTGGGATCAAAACTCAAGTCCTCAGGCTTAGGGCCAAGTGCCCCACCCCCAGCCATCTCTCTGGTACTGAAATCAGATCTCTTAATACTGTCTAGTATTTTCATCCGGTTGGTTACTTAAGCAAAATAATGTCGCTGACTATTGCTGGTGCTAGCTGGTGTTCTTTAAGACTGGGGCAATAATGGAAAAATACAGCAGAGGGAGCGAGAGAGAGAATCTGCATGTGTGTGTGTTTTAAGTTACAGAAACAAAAAGAGGAAGGATGTTAGGAAATATGAAAATATAGGGGGAATTGTTCCCATTAGCCTCATTTTTTTTAAGTTTACTGCTCTAAAAGTTTGAATCATTCTATTTAATGAGAAATTAGTGCTAGTAAAATTTCACAAGGAGAATTGGCCATCTCCCCATTTTTGTCTGCTTGGGAGCATTTAGAATACATTGAACTTTTCATTATGTTGTTAGCTAGGGAAGAATCCTTCTGGCTTAAGGAACTTACTGGCCAATTACTTTGATGCATCTTATAGACAAAGCTCTTGGGTCATCAAAACAACATAAAAGGGACTAAAGATTTGTTGAATTTATCTTTGTTATTTTACCATTAACTAGGTGCTCCAAAGATGCCATGAACCAGTTTATGTCTTATTTATGTTTTATGTCTCAAATCAGTAGTCATTTGAAAATCCCTTATCTTGTTTGGTTTTATTTGTTTGTTTGAGACAGGTTCTCACTATGTAGCTCTGGCAGTCCTGGAATTCACTATGTAGACCAGGCTGTCCTCAAAATCACGGAGATCCACCTGCCTCTGACTCCCAAGTCTTGGGATTAAAGGCATGTGCCACCTTGCCCAATCAAAAGTCTCAAATCTGGACAGTAGTGTGGAAGTTGAGGTGGTTTGGTTAGGTGTGAAGCAGTTGTGTTTACACCACTTGTAGGGCTGGCCGTACCAGAATAATTTTGAAGTCTAGGTCACACTCTGTGGTGAGGGCAGCATGCTGGCCGAGTCACATGTTGGCATACCTTCTGTTTTTATTGTGTCTTCAGTTTCTTCAGTACATTCCTTTCTCAAATACTGTCTTAGAAAAAGGAAAGCATAGACTACTATCTCTCCTTCATCCTTGTACTAATCTAATCTGCTGATTTTGTTACTATTTTAGGAATAATCTCTTTTGCCCTTTTCTCTCTTATTAAGACTTCTTAGATGGGAAGATTTAGATACTTATCCTGTCCCAACAAGATTAGACACCATAGGATAGAAGTGTTTCCTTTCTCTACATGCTGTCTGTGATATTGCTTACACTCTGTGTGCTTTGTCAATCTTATCAGCATTTAGAAACCCTTCAGGGGCAGTACTGGCCAAGTTTTGCTCCATCATTCTTTTTTTTTAATTTTTAATTTTTTAAAATATTAGTTACAGTTTATTAACTTTGTATCCCAGCTATATCTTGCTCCCTCATTCCCACCCAATCCTACCCTCCCTCCCTCATCTCCTCTCTGCCCCTTTCCAAGTCCACTGATAGGGGAGGACCTCCTCCCCTTTCATCTGACTCTGTTTTATCAGGTATCTTGAGGACTGGCTGCAAAGTTCTCCTCTGTGGCCTAGCAGGGCTACTCCTCCCTCAGGAGGAAATAGTCAGAAATAGTCCCTGTTCCCCTTACTAGGACACCTACTCGGTCCATTGTTCTTATTGCTCTTTTATGCTAGTATGTGTGTGCTGGATGCTTTGAACTTACTATGTGGATAAGCCTTGAACATCATATTCTCCTGTTTGTACCCCCAGAGTGCCTCCATGCTGGGCAAGCAGTCTGTTAACTGAACTGCATCACCAGCCTGAGCCCCTGGTGTTAGTTAAGAGTTTAACCAGGGGAAATGAATTTCTACTTCTCTCTCATATTCAGGAATGGTACTTGGTATTTAAGAACACATTACTAATCCCTGGCAGTGGTGGCACACGCCTTTAATCCCAGCACTTGGGAGACAGGGTCTGGCAGATCTGGAGTTTGAGGTCAGCCTGGTCTACAGAGTGAGTTCCAGGACAGCCAGACCTACACAGAGAAACCCTGTTTGAAAAAACTAGGGTGGGAGTGGGGATGCTTTTCTAAAATTATTTGAACATGCCTTTTAAATCCCAGCACTCTGGAAGGACAGGCAGGTGGATCTCTGAGATGCCAGCCTGGTCTACATTGCAAGTTCCAGGACAGCCAGGGTTCTGAATACGGACCCTGTCTCAAAAGAAAAAAAGAGAAGGCTTTAATTAGTCCTGAATGCCTTTGCCTGTTGCCAAGACATGCCTGGAATTGTTCTCTAGGCAATTGGTGCTGTGATGGTGCTTTTGTTCTCTTCTGCAAGAGCTAATTGCCTGAAATTAATAAGATATTGCTCATATTTCAATACTGGCTTTACAGGGCTAGCCTTGAATTCTATTTTGCAATTTCTAATAATTAAAACTTTGAACAAATGATAAAACTTTGTTTTGTTTTTTCTTTTTTTTTAATTTTATTTTTTTCTTATCAGTTACATTTTATTAACTCTGTATCCCAGCCTTGTCCCGATCCCTCATTCCCTCCCAGTCCCTCCCTCCCTGTTTTGTTTTTTCAAGCCAGGGTGTTCAGAACATTGACAAGAAGTCTATAGAGTACAGGTTGGCCAAGAGAACAGTCAAGGCTTGCTACAGGAATAATCTTCATATAGCAGTCTTATGGGTATTTTCACTTAACATTAGTTGCTCTAGACTCCTTAGTGAACAAACCTGTAAACTTCCTGGGCTTTTGACTTCCTAAAACTTTTAAGCTTACCTAAGTTAGTTGTGCTTTTAAATA